GGTTGTATGGAAGGATCACTGCAAATTAGTGATGACACCGGGTGCACGGGTGGCCCAGTCGTCTAAGGCGCCGCGATCGCTGTGCAGAGTTGCGTCCCTTGGCCACGCCAGAAACCTATGATTGTGGGTTCGAATCCCGGTTCGCCCCGATTAAGTGTCTAGGTTTGTCAGCACCATGGTTCACCGAAGTGGTAAACGTCTGAGACCTGCATCACTTCGAGCTTTCCTCCCACATCAAGCTGACACACCGCGATATAACTGGAATAATGTTAAAAGCGGCGTTCAACCCAACTCACTTACTCACAGAGATGACACCAGGTGTTCGCGAAGAAGGCATGAAACAAGCGTCTCCGTGATGGTAAAGAAGAGAAAAAATCTTCTTCTTGCTCCAACATACTACACTCTAATTCACAGTACTACTGAAATACATTGTCTTGAAACCCACAGCAAATTATATGTGACAGGTCAACACTCGCTTCACAACACTGATGTATATGGTAATTGTGGAATAATCTTCCCCAAAAAACTAATTAATAAAAAAAATATGATTATGACCTCATGTAGGACATGTTTGTATGCACCATCACTCAAACACGTGCGAGCAAGGAAATGACCTCCTGATGTCGGAATGGCTGTTTAAATATTTGCCTTTAAATATTTAAGGATTAATGAGACTCATATTTATAATTTCGTGACTAGGGTTGAATGCAACGACATTCTGCCTCCACATAAACACGATTTCGACTTTTAGTAATTTTTGGTTTGACGTTTACAAGAGCGTGAGACTTCTTTGGCTCTAAACAAGCACGACTCATGAGTCATAACACAACGTATACCGAAACAAACAGGAAAGGGATCGTAAATATTTTTTTTGGAATTTTTTAAAGAAATTGTATGCCCAGTCATCACAATAAAAATATTCATGATCCCAAACGTTTGTGTTCAGCATACATAGATCATTGTCGCATTTTATTATCACTGGCATTTCTGTACGTTGGGACTAAGATGAGATGAGACACAACATGGAGGTTACATAATCAAGTCTTAAATGAATAATACTAATTTTGAGCTGTTATAATCACAAAACAAAAAAGTTGATTCACAAGCAGATTGTCCATAGAGAATTATTGTCCCTGACCAGTTAATTGTTATGGCGCTGAACAGTGAGTGAGTGAGTGAGTTTGGTTTAACGCCGCTTTTAACAATATTCCAGTTATATCGCGGCGTGTCAGCTTAATGTGGGAGGAAAGCCCGAAGTGATGCAGGTCTCAGACGTTTACCACTTCGGTGAAACCCACGAGCACGGGTATGGTGCTGACAAACCTAGAAACAATATCGGGGCGAACCGGGATTCGAACCCACAATCATAGGTTTCTGGCGTGCCCAAGGGACGCAACTCTGCACAGCGAATCGCTGCGCCTTAGACGACTGGGCCACCCGTGCCCCCGGCGCTGAACAGGTTTCTCTTATCTTTGAGACAAGTGATTTTGTTCGAATAATGCCTCATTCACTCAGCAGCGAATGGGTACCCGGTAGAATGAGATCATAATGTGGCTGTATCATTCTTGCGCCTCAGAGGCTGCCTGGATTATATACTCCCCAAGGAGCTGAGAAAGAAATCGAGCGCACAAAATCGAGGTAGAAATGGCGTTAGCGCTTTGAGTATGGACGGACGGACTATAGCGCATTACAGTTATCTAAAAACTCAAAGGAATTGCTTGACGATTTGCAATCTCAGAAAAGAATCACTTTCAATTTTGTCAAAACATTATATTTTATAAATTTGTACACCACTATCCCACACGACGAACGTGGTTACCATAGATATAGTTACATATTTATCTTTCAAAGTTCAGGACAACTTGACAAAAATGAAAGCAAACATCATCTGTAGTTTGGGGGCATGGGTGGCCTAGTTGTCTAATGCGCCGCGATTCGCTGTGCAGAGTTGCGTCCCTTGGGCACGCCAGACACCTATGATTGTGGGTTCGAATCCAGGTTCGCCCCGATTATGTCTCTAGGTTTGTCAGCACCATAGCCGTGCTCGTGGGTTTCACCGAAGTGTCTGAGACCTGCCTCACTTCGGGCTTTCCTCCCACATTAAGCTGACACGCCGTGATATAACTGGAATACTGTTAAAAGCGGCATTAAACCAAACTCACTCACTCACTCATCTGTTGTTTTATGAGAAAACAAATATGAAATGCTGGACCAAAGATAACATCATTGTATAAATTGTGGACAGGACATTTGGCCTAGAAGTAGGAATCCCAATTGGCACTAATCGAACCCTCTCCTTGCTCCCTGATCATGGTGGCCTTCATAATAACGAGCCAACGTCTTAACCACTAGGCGACCACCCACCACCCCCGCGAGTGGATATACGTATAGATATGTATCACTGCATGGCAAGAGATATGTATCACTGCATGGCAAGAGATATGTATCACTGCATGGCAAGAGATATGTATCACTGCATGGCAAGAGATATGTATCACTGCATGGCAAGAGATATGTATCACTACATGGCAAGAGATATGTATCACTGCATGGCAAGAGATATATATCACTACATGGCAAGAGATATGTATCACTACATGGCAAGAGATATGTATCACTACATGGCAAGATATATGTATCACTACCTGGCAAGAGATATGTAACACTACCTGGCAAGAGATATGTATCACTACATGGCAAGAGATATGTATCACTACAAGGCAAGAGATATGTATCACTACATGGCAAGATATATGTATCCCTACATGGCAAGAGATATGTATCACTGCCTGGCAAGAGATATGTATCCCTACATGGCAAGAGATATGTATCACTACATGGCAAGAGATATGTATCCCTACATGGCAAAAGATATGTATCACTGCCTGGCAAGAGATATGTATCACTACATGGCAAGAGATATGTATCACTACATGGCAAGAGATATGTATCACTACATGGCAAGATATATGTATCACTACATTGCAAGAGATATGTATCACTACAAGGCAAGAGATATGTATCACTACATGGCAAGATATATGTATCACAACCTGGCAAGAGATATGTATCACTACATGGCAAGAGATATGTATCACTACCTGGCAAGAGATATGTATCACTACATGGCAAGATATATGTATCACTACATGGCAAGAGATATGTATCACTACATGGCAAGATATATGTATCACTACATGGCAAGAGATATGTATCACTACCTGGCAAGAGATATGTATCACTACATGGCAAGATATATGTATCACTACATGGCAAGAGATATGTATCACTACATGGCAAGAAATATGTATCACTACATGGCAAGAGATATGTATCACTACATGGCAAGATATATGTATCACTACATGGCAAGAGATATGTATCACTACATGGCAAGAGATATGTATCACTACCTGGCAAGAGATATGTATCACTACATGGCAAGAGATATATATCACTACATGGCAAGAGATATGTATCACTACATGGCAAGAGATATGTATCACTGCATGGCAAGAGATATGTATCACTACATGGCAAGATATATGTATCACTACATGGCAAGAAATATGTATCACTACATGGCAAGATATATGTATCACTACATGGCAAGAGATATGTATCACTACATGGCAAGAGATATGAATCACTACATGGCAAGAGATATGTATCACTACATGGCAAGAGATATGAATCACTACATTGCAAGAGATATGTATCACTACATGGCAAGAGATATGTATCACTACATGGCAAGAAATATGTATCACTACAGTGCAAGAGATATGTATCACTACATGGCAAGAAATATGTATCACTACATGGCAAGAGATATGAATCACTACATGGCAAGAGATATGTATCACTACATGGCAAGATATATATATATCACTACATGGCAAGAGATATGTATCACTACATGGCAAGAGATATGAATCACTACATTGCAAGAGATATGTATCACTACATGGCAAGAGATATGTATCACTACCTGGCAAGAGATATGTATCACTACCTGGCAAGAGATATGTATCACTACCTGGCAAGAGATATGTATCACTACATGGCAAGAGATATGTATCACTACCTGGCAAGAGATATGTATCACTACATGGCAAGAGATATGTATCACTACATGGCAAGATATATGTATCACTACATGGCAAGATATATGTATCACTACATGGCAAGAGATATGTATCACTACATGGCAAGAGATATGTATCACTACATGGCAAGAGATATGTATCACTACATGGCAAGAGATATGTATCACTACCTGGCAAGAGATATGTATCACTACATGGCAAGAGATATGTATCACTACATGGCAAGAAATATGTATCACTACATGGCAAGAGATTATATCACTACATGGCAAGAGATATGTATCACTACATGGCAAGAGATATGTATCACTACATGGCAAGAGATATGTATCACTACATGGCAAGAGATATGTATCACTACATGGCAAGCGATATGTATCACTACATGGCAAGAGATATGTATCACTACATGGCAAGATATATGTATCACTACATGGCAAGATATATGTATCACTACATGGCAAGAGATATGTATCACTACATGGCAAGAGATATGTATCACTACATGGCAAGAGATATGTATCACTACATGGCAAGCGATATGTATCACTACATGGCAAGAGATATGTATCACTACATGACAAGAAGGGAGTCACATAGATGTCAAAACTACAGCTGTAGCGTTTAGATTGATCAAAATGATATAGCCATAGTTCATATTAATTATCTGTTTATGTGAAATACGTCACTCATTTCATTTCACAAAGTGACGTTAGTTAACCTTAATATACAACTTTAACACAGCTTTGACAGACAAGGGGAGTAAAAAATCTCTATTCATAAATAGAATTTAATCGCGAAACAGACGTTAGCATATCCAAAACACGCCGATGCGTTTTGACGTATGTTGTCTGTGAATCGTCAGTGTTTTGAATAAAAAGACCAGACTCCTTGTTTTCATTTGGAAACCGCGGCGGACCAGCAGACGTGCAGGGGAGGCTTTGACAACCATTAAGACTGGTCGTGACGAGAGTAGTGGCAGGACTGATGTGCACGAACTAAACCTGCACGAGCTTGGGCGGTGGTATAACACGCGTGTCAGACGACATCCGCCAGTCACTTTTCGTCGCCATCTTTAGACAATCCAGGACGCCATCTTGACTCTTCGCCACAGGTCAGTGAAAGTACCAAGATATTTGTTTTGTTGATACTTAGAACCTAATTTAAGAATGCGCCCGATTTGAGTTCTTATTCAATTAGCTTTTTTAATTTAATTTCCTGATTTAAAGCTATGATAAACATTAATCTCTCTGCCAACAGCAACCAGACATTTCTGTTTCTGAAGTCTATTTAACTGTCTGGCATTTGGTGATTGTTGGGTTTGATTACTTTTTTTCTATTGTATAAACAAAACGTCATTCAAATTAAAGAGTTGAACTTGTGAAAAAAGACATGCTTTTGAAATAATGTAGCAAGGCAAGAACATAACCCTTTTAATCTCCATGTTTCATAATACATGACACTGTATTCCCGTGTAATAATGTGTTTCTAGTTGGGTCTGTCTACGTAAGTCTTAAGCATAGCTGTGTATTAGGAAACTCCGTTAATCCAGGCACCGTTAGAACAGAAACCCTGCGATTTTAAACCTTAATAAAGAACACGTTTGTGTCCTGTTCTTTTTTGGAATGGGTTTGGTTGATTCATTTTGGGAATTTCTCCAACACCAAATTTCCCTGCCGTGATATAACTGAAATACTGTTAGAGCGGGGTTAAAACACTCTCACACACTGTAGTTTGATCAGCTACTTGTTCCAGTTTCACATGAAAATTGTATGAGCGGGGCCCCTTTCGCCTGGTGGGTCACATACCTTTTTTATTATTGATCTAAATATTTAGAGGGCATAATAAAAACATTCAATTCAAAACTCCATTTTGCTTTTTACGTCCAATGGAATCTGTTTTGTCGGGTGGTGGGTGAGGTGAAATGGGGTTTAACGTCGCGTCCAAGATTATTGCACTTATATAACGACGTGCATGTACGTGTGTGTGTTTGTGTGGCTGCTTGTACTAGTCCGGACTGATGCCTATTTATAGTGCTAGCTCACTGAGATACCATGCCGCAGTTTAACATGAATACCCCACTCAGACACAGTATACTGACTCCGAGCCGACCAGTCCTTGTTTTAGCCCCTTAAGCGCCAGACAGGGTAACAACAAGTACCATCTTTTAACTTTTTAACGGTATGGCGCTGCCGGGGATCGAACCCCGGACCTTCCGCTCTCCGGGCGGACGCTCTACCACTAGACCACAGAGGCGGTCCTGTTTCGTCGGAAATTCGAGACTAGTTATTCTCTGACGCTGACGTATATACATCTCAATATTTGATAGACATTTTGTATTTAAAAAGGTGAGTATTAGTTGAGTAGTAATTCTTTTATATGTTATATATCTTGTTATATTTACAGATTTATGAAAGATGGCGGAAGTGTGCGTCTCGTTCCTCTATTTCGTGCTGGGGTCTCTCCTCATCCCCCTAGCAGCCCTCCAACCGGCCCCTGGAGGGACCCAAGTTGAGCTGAACATGCTGCAGCCTGGAATGTCACAAGGGATGATGCAGATGCAGCCACAAATGCATCAAGGTATGGGGATGCAGATGAGGATGCTGCCCCCGGTGATGCAAAATATACAGGGGATGCAGTCTGGGGGGCTTCAGATGCAACAGCCGGGGTCTGGCCCACCGGCCTGGATGACGGATTCTAGAGGCAGAGCCGTACAGATGAACTTTGCCATGGGTCCTGACGTGGGAGCTAGCATGACTGGAGCCGGTGCTGGAGCGAGCTCTGGAATTCCAGTGACAGGGGCATCTCAAGGAGCCGATGGATTAGGAGCTAGTATGGGAGGTGGGATGGGAGTAGGTATGGGTGCTGGGATGGGAGGTGGAATGGGAGGCGGAATGGGAGGTGGCATGGGTGGGGGTATGGGTGCTGGGATGGGAGGTGGAATGGGAGGTGGCATGGGTGGGGGTATGGGTGCGGCTATGGGTGCAGCTGGACTACCTGGCATGGCCTTACAGCAAGCTCAGCAGCAGGCTCAGCAACAAGCTCAGCAACAGGCTCAGCAACAGGCTCAGCAACAGGCTCAGGCTCAGCAACAAGCCATGGCTGCCCAGCAAGGGCTTACAGCCCAAGGCGCTCAAGGAATCCCAGGCGGTGTCGGCGGTGTTCCCCAACCTGACATGCAAATGCAAAACTCCATGTGGGCAATGGGGCCCTACCCCCAACCAGGAATGATGGGGGGACAGTTTGGCTTCCAGTACCCCATAGCGGGAAACTACCCAGGAGGGGTACCCGGTATGGCAGCCGACCCCCAGCTCGCCATCTCCCTCATGCCGGGGACGACGCCGCGACCAGCTGCCGCAGCCGCCGACGTCGTAGCCAAAGCTGGTATCGTAGGAACTGTTACGTTAACCCCAGCCGTAACAAAACCTCCCGCGTCCACACCGTATCCCAAGATTCTGTACGTAGACAACCCCAAGTTCACAGACGGGATGATAAACTGGAAAGACGTTGCTGATGCTTTAGTTCAAATTGGCAGGGTCCTTAATTGGCTAATGAAGTTCTCATATGCGCAGTAACAACGTTTTTTCTCAAAATTACCACAGTTTACAAATAAATACGTCTGCCTCCGTTGCTTTCTCGGTGATACTGTTCATGTCTTGGCTGACGATTTCGGGACAACTGGAAAGACATTGGACTATGCGTTGAATTACTGGACAATCATTAACCGAAATTTAGACCTATAACCCATTGGCGGTAAATGACGTCGATATGAGTAATGTAAAAGCAAGTGCAAGTCTATGTGTGATTAAAATCATATTTATACCTGTACGTTGTTTTGTTACCAATAGTTTACCAAATATTGGCTTCAATTGTACAAAAGATCCGGGGTAGAATAGGACTTCAGCAACCCATGCTTGCCGTAAAAGGCGACCATGCTTGTCGTAAGAGGCGACTAACGGGATCGGGTGATCAGGCTCGCTGATTTGGTTGATGCATGTCATCGTATCCAAATTGCGTGGATCGATGCTCATGATGTCAATCACTGAATTGTCTGGTCCGGATTCGATTATTTACAGACCGCCGTCATATAGCTGGAATATTGCTGAGTGCAACGTTAAACAACAAACAAACAAAATCAATTGTACAGTGTTATTTCATCGCGCAGAAGAAGGGTCGTCTATGTTTGTTTTATGAAATAACATAGGTACTATGTACCAACACATGGGCCTGAAATACATTATAAAAACACAAAAATGATGAAACTGTTACTTAAGTGTGAGTGTGTATGGTTTTACGCCGCTTTTAGCAACATTCCAGCAATATCACGGCGGGGGACACCAGAAATGGGCTTCACACATTGTACCCATGTCGGGAATCGAACCCGGTTCTTCGGCGTGACGAGCGAACGCTTTAACCACTAGGCTACCCGACCGCCCCCTGTTACTTAAGGCTCCTCGAGGTTAAGTGTTACGGTTAATTACAAAGGTGGCAATGAGGTAGCCTGGTAGTTAAAGTGTTTCTTCGTCTCGCTGAAGACCGGAGTTCGATCCCCGAAGATACACGAGGCCAACCTCTCGTGTACCCTTGCGTTATATTGTTTGAGTGAGTAAGTGAGTATGGTTTTAAGCCGCTTTTAGCAGTATTCCAGCAATATCACGGCTGGGGACACCAGGAATGGGCTTCACTCATTGTACCCATGTCGGTAATCGATCTCGATTTTCGGCGTGACGACCGAACGCTCACATTGTTTGAATATTGCAAACAGATGCGTAAAATAATACTCAATCACTTATAATCCCACAAAATGTGTTATTCTTGTCCGTGTATTTTGGTATGTATTTTCCCACTGATTTAAGACTTACAACTCACTCACTCACTCACTAACTCATGTTACATGAATGAATGGGGTTTGATGCTACTTTAAACAGTATAACACGTCAAACGTGGTCGGAAATCCAAAGAGACTTAGGCTGAGAAGTGATGTGAGGTGAAATGGGGTTTAACGTCGCGTCCAAGATTATTGCACTTATATAGCGACGTGCATGCACGTGTGTGAGTGGCTGCTTGTACTAGTCCGGACTGATGCCGATTTATAGTGTGGCCCACTGAGATACTATGCCGCAGTTTCACATGAATACCCCTCTCAGACACAGTATGAGACTCCGAGCCGACCAGTCCTTGTTTTAGCCCTTTAATGCTGAGCGCCAGACAGGGTAACAAAAAGTACCATCTTTTAACGTCTTTTGATATGACGCGGCCTGGAATCGAACCCCGGAGCTTCCGCTCTCCGGGCGGACGTTCTAAGGATGAGAAGATTACCAATTGGTGAAACCCACGAGGGCGTATTTGGTGCTAAGAAACCCAGGGCCATAATCAGGGCAGATTTGGGGTTGGAAGTCACTGTCACAGGATTATGGCATGATCCTGGCATCCCTAAGGGAAGTAACTCTGCACAGTGAATTGTCGCTTATAACGACAGGACCACACGTTCCCCTTAAAAATGGAGAATTCTAAGGTTTAGTCGGGAATACAAGGATGTGGGTTAGCTTTAACGTTGCTTTGAAAACAGTATGTCAGGTATATCAGTGACTTTGTGAGTTATTTGGGTTTAACGCTGCATTAATTAATCATACACCGCCTCCGTGGCCAAGTGGATAGAGCGTCTGCCCGGAAAAGATAGGTGGTTCGATAACCGGCCTCGTCATACCAAAGACGTTAACAAATGTTACCTGTTGTTACCCTTGGCATCAAGGGGATAATACTAGGACTTGGGTTCGGCTCTCTCTCTCTCTCTCTCTCTCTCTCTCTCTCTCTCTCTCTCTCTCTCTCTCTCTCTCTCTCTCTCTCCCCTCTCTCTCTCTCTCTCTCTCTCTCACACACACACACACACGCACGCACACACACTTACGCCCTCAAATAATAATCAACAATCGGGTCAAAACGTGCAACCAGTGAATCACCGGAGATAAGGGAGACAACTCTCCACTGCAAGTTGTAGCGGTTTCAGTAGAGATTTTTCAACAAACCCTGCATGTTTGTAGTCCAAGGAGGATTGGTCTACAAACAGAATAGTCATTGTCATCATCGCGTTGTATAAAAACGTGGAATACCATAAATCATTATCTATACTTTGGAGCTTTTGTGTGTGGACAGATTACATTTAGACCTGAGTTTGCTGGTTTGATTTGGATAGGATACTCTTTCAGCTTAACCGATGTTAAATACTTGATTTAGCGAAAACACATTACACATCTGTTTTTAAAAGATTCTGGTTTATCTATATTTAAGTGTCATCCAGAGGATTCAGTGTCAAAGGAGACAGGGTTGATTTATGGTGTTCAGCTTCGTTTATATTGTTTCATTGTGGCGTTACTGTCCATTTACTGGCGTATCTATCAAAAGAATGATTACTTTCATAATCGTTTTATAAATCACCCTTTGAAAAATCTGGTGAAATCTAATCTAATTGCAAGCATTCTGATAATCATTTAAGTTTCATGACAACTTTTGTGAAGAATTCTTATCAATCATGTGTTAAGTCTCATGAGAACCATTTGTAAAACTTTCTGATAATCATGTGTTAGGTTCAATGATAACCCTTTGTAAAGCTATTTGATACTCGTTAGTTGTTTTATGATAACCCTTTGTAAAGCTTTCTGATAATCATGTATTAAGTCTCATGATAACCCTTTGTAAAGCTTTCTGATAATCATGTATTAAGTCTCATGATAACACTTTGTAAAGCTTTCTGATAATCATGTATTAAGTCTCATGATAACCCTTTGTAAAGCTTTCTGATAATCATGTATTAAGTCTCATGATAACACTTTGTAAAGCTTTCTGATAATCATGTATTAAGTCTCATGATAACCCTTTGTAAAGCTTTCTGATAAGCATATGTTACGTTTCATGATTACCTATTGTAAAGCTTTCTGACAATGGAAACCTTTGTATAAACTTCTGATAATTATTCTAAAAGTATTTTCATAATCTTCTATAATGTCATGTTAAAATGCATGGGTGTTTTATGACATTATATTTCCAAACTTTGTGAAAAAGGCTTGAAAATTAATCATTTTCATAATTACCGCACCAAACATAGCAGTGTGTCAACCAGTTGTCACCTCTGATTCATGTTTGGGCATAGTGACGGAAGTCGACATATGTTAATGCTAGAAACGGAGTTTCCGTCAGCAACACAGAAGTTGAACTATGGAAGCCTCTAGTTTCCTGTTTCGTTTTCTTTTTTTCATATATTATTTATTCGTTTGATGAGGAAAACGACGAGCACATGTTTTACACATGACGTTTATTTGTCTGTTTGTTTGTTTGTTTGTTTGTTGTTTAACGCCGGACTCAGCAATATTCCAGCTGTACGATGGCGGTCTGTAAATAATCCAGTCTGGACCAGACAATCCAGTGATTGATATGATGAACATCGATCCACGCAATTGGCATCAATCAAGTCAGCGAGTCTGACCACCCGATCCCGTTAGTCGCCTCTTACGACATGCATTGTCGACTCTTACGGTAAGCATGGGTTGCTGAAGACCAATTCTACCCCGGATCTTCACGGGTCACTTACACATGAAGAGAGACTGGAAGATAATTGATACAGATATCTCCCTCTCTCTTATTAATGTGATATTTTCATGAGAAGGAATGTACACAGTGTCATGATTCCATTTATCATCGAAAATTCCTTAGCGACTTCTGCCGAGAATAGAGGCGTCGTTCATCTAACAACTCAACCTGCCGGAAGCTGCGATGAGACATGCGCAGTTGACGTAACAATCACAACAAGCAGCTAAACAAGAGCACGTAATGTCGTCATTCAGATGATTCATCGAAAAGCTGTGAGTTTACACATTCCTTTCAGCTGACACACCATGAAATATCCGAAAAACTGTTCAAAACAATTCTAAACCAAACACGCTCACTCATTACTTACTGGATCAGTCCAGATCACCCATCTTCCTCAATCGGGGGATTCCGGGAAAGAACTGGTCCATGTTCCCGAGGCAAGGGCGTAAACTGACTATAAAAGTACATTTTCTACCCTTGGCGAACTAGACTGGAACTCCGGGCTTACATTTTGGCTGGATTAACGAGTCTATGTATAGTCCAATCAAAATCGCGCAACGACCAAGACATCCGGTTCGTAAACAACATGGATTTCACCGTGCATATTTCGATCAACTGCAAGATTTGCAAAGCATGTGTACCGTCAAATGGGCGTCGATAGATATTTTCCAAATCTTTTTTAATCAAGGTGCTCGAGTGAATTTATGCACTTCGCGAGATAAGACCCGTTTTATTACAATATAGATCTTGTTTATCGATCAGATTGTCTTACCTGGGTGCCGCAAAGCAAATGCAAGTGATATGAGAGGTGGAAGCTGATCAATAACAGGGACATAGAAGGGACTTAAATCGTAATTGTCACTGGTGGCGCTACGATCGAGCCTGGAAATTCAAGCCTAGTTGGGCAAGGGTGGAAACTGGATTTTTATAGTCAGTTAACTCCCCTGCCTCGGGAAGATGCTTGTCCGCAGGAATGTATGCCGGTCGTATGAGGCAACTTATCTGATCGGATGGTATTAAGGCTCTGTGGCTTGGTTGATTCTGTATCATCGTACTCCGATTCATTACTCATAATATCAATCAGTTGACTGTCTGGTTCAGAATCGATTATTCGTTTTAACACATTTTTATTTCCGAAAATTATACACGGGCTGGATAGGTAAACAAGTCCTACGACTTATATTAACACCGCTCCATTTATACATACAATAAAAAATGAACATACTGTCAAGGTAGTGTGTGTGTGTGTGTGTGTGTGTGTGTGTGTGTGTGTGCGTGCGTGCGTGCGTGCGCGCGCGCAGATAATAAGAGATTAGGGCATGTATAAAACGTTGTATTACGTGTCATGTATAACACGTGCATGGGCTAAACCACTGGTTGCGTTTTCGGTTGCTTTTTCCATCAACTTCAATCTTGCACTTTTCATTGTTTTTTAATAGTCGTTGTCTATTTTCCCAATTTCATAAGAGCATTGGCATGAACAACATTGTCAACATACTCAGACCTATTGCCTCTTGTTGGCACCTTATGGTGTTTCTCACCCTCCATACCTGGGGAATTCTCCAATAATAACACACCACTGGTAGAGAGTCCGCCAGGAGAGCGGAGGGTCCAGGGTTCAGTCCCCGGGCGCGTCATATCAAAATACGTTAATAGATGGTACTTGTTGTTACCCTGACTGGAGCTCGGCATTAAGGGGCTAAAACAAGGACTGGTCGGCTCGGAGTCAGTATAGTTTGTCTGAGTGGGGTATTCATGTTAAACTGAAGCATGGTATCTCAGTGGGCTAGCATCAGTCTGGACTAGAAAAAGCAGCCACACACACACACATGTGCATGCGCGTCGCTATATAAGTGCAATAATGTTGGACGCGACGTTAAACCCCATTTCACCTCACCTTAATAATGACGCTGAGTATTACAAGGAATGTCACCTGCATGTCAGTTAACGTTGTGTATTTTTTTATGACCTGTTTCGAGAAGGTACAGGAACCTGTTCTCCTTTATATAGATCACATAATGCTGTTCCGTTTGAGAGTAATGCTCATCTGGCAGTTTGAGTACACGGAAATGTGGCACCAGAATATTTATGCTAATACTCCGTTGTTTTCAAGCTTTTTTTTACCTATTTTTGACACAGTGACTTCTGGGATGGTTACAGGGTTAGAGCAAGATTGCTGATCTTAAAATTTTAAAAATACGGAAACGTTGAATTGTGTTCAGAATTCGTCGTAGTCAACTGTCAAAAGAAACGCGCAACAGAGTGTTTCTGTCAATGATCCATTAGCATCTGTAGTCCAATGGGTCAGTAGTGTGTTGAAATAGTTAATGTGATTAAATGTCTGATTAACAAAAAAAAGCACCATCACTACTACTACTACTACTACTACTACTACTACTACTACTACTACTACTACTACTAAGACTACCACTATTTCCCCACTTCACTACTGACACTAATATTATTTCTACTGTTTATGCTACTTTTAGTATAAATATTACATTTACCACTACTACTACTACTACTACTACTAATACTACTACTACTACTACTACTTCTACTACTGCAATTCTTCTACTACTACTACTACTTCTACTTCTACTACTACTACTACTACTTCTACTACTACTACTACTACTACTTCTACTACTACTACTACTGCAATTCTACTACTACTACTGCTGCTGCTACTGCTACTACTACTACTACCACTACTTCTACTACTGCTGCTGCCACTCCTACTAAAGCTACTACTACTACTACTACTACTACTACTGCTGCTGCTGCTGCTGCTGCGCTATTTCCACCTCCATTTCTAGTGCCGTTACTGTAACTAATAGTAACATAATATTATTCTATCATTAATAATATTGTTACTGCTACTGCTACTACTACTTCTACTACTACTACTGCCGGTACTACTACTACTACTACTACTACTACTGTTACTACTATTACCATTACTACTACTGCTGCTGCTGTCACTCCTACTAAAGCTGCTACTACTACCACGGTTGCTGCTCTACTACTACAACTATTACTTGTGCTGCAAATAGTAAAATACAACTGCTATTAACATCATCATTGATATTATTGTAACTGATATTGCTGCTACTACTACTACTACTACTACTACTGCTACTACTACTACTACTACTACTACTACTACTACTACTACTACTACTACTTCTACTGCTACTACTACCACTATTATTACTGCTACTACTACTTCTACTACTATTACTACTACTACTACTTCTACTGCTACTACTACCACTATTATTGCTGCTACTACTACTACTTCTACTACTACTACTACTACTACTACTTCAACTGCTACTACTACCACTATTATTACTGCTACTACTACTTCTACTACGGCTGCTGCTACTGCTAGTACTACTACTGCTACTACTATTGCTACTCCTACCACAAAACAACATATATTCGTACATACGGGAGAAATATGATGTATTTATATATATTGTATATAAATCATCAAATCTTAATTTGTAATAAAGCAATTCTGAGCAATCTGTAAATTATGCAATTAAACATATAAAATCACGGAAAGAATATAAATTCATGGCATGACGGTTTTAACTGGTAATTACGGAGGAGATAAGCTAATCGCTGAGGGTGTGTATCGTGCAATTCATCCCCACTGCGGTTGGCATGTATATAAAAGTATGCGTGACTGTCACTCAAGCGGAAGGCCGTCTAGTGCATGCGCAGTTGTACAAGAAACAAGATGGCGGCCTTTTAGAATATTGTCACACAAACGTGACCCGGACCCGACCTCGAGAGGTCATGACGTATGTGATGGACATTATCTAAATACAGAGGCCTGAGCAAAACTCGACCACACGGAAAGTGTCAGGCCAGCGTTCTTAACGGAACTACATTATAGGCGCAGCTAGCGAGAGGTGAGTAGGCTAAAACGGATTAATACACACTATAATCCGGTACCAAAATCAACAATCAGAATATGTATTCAAGCCGAACTAGCAATTGTTTTTTTGGCGACCGATACTGTTTATTCTGATTTGATTTTTTAACTTAAAAAAAGAAAAGCTGAACAATAATTTCTCTGCTCCTCGTGATATAACTGGTACATATTAACAATAACATAGACGAGAATCAAAAGTACTTATAATTCAAAGTCCACTTTGTGTATACCGTTAATATAATACACATAGATACATTGAATGCGACATTGTAGTTAGCATAACACATTCTCCACAGCGCAACCTCGCCTATCTGGACTTTAACGCTATCTATAATGAAGCTTCGGAACGCTATTCACCTCTCTTAAGTATGCCCATTACATATATAGCCTTAGATATTCCCATTTCTTAATTAGGTTAAACGTTTATAGCCATATTTGCCGACATCAAACAATATGAGTTAGGTAAGGATAAGTTATATGGATGAACATCTTTTTTATTACAATAACAGACGTTTCGGTGATAAGGTTGTTCATAGATATATACCTTATATATTTTATACTTATTTCTGAATCCCACACACAGATGTTCATATTAGTTAGGGTTCGTTTTTTAATGATTTGAATCAAACTTGCTGGCGTTGGAAACTGGTTTGAACATAGGTTTCATTTAACCAATTGTTTATTAGTTTGTAATCTGATTAATTGTGAGTCCGCTGTTATTATTAAACATATTTCATTGTCCAAAAAGACAAAGGGATTGGGTACAAGTGCAACACTTATTACCGCCTTCTCCCTATATACAGTTAAACTTAATATTGCATAATAGAAATGAACATTTTACAATTGAAGACTGACATTGTGGAAACATAGTGCGCATATATATATGAAGGATATGTACAATATGCTGGAAAGTGAAGCCAGTGTGCATCTAACACATATGCAAATATTATACATTTTGGTGTTTATATATAGATTTAACAATATTAATTATTAACAATTTGGAAACAATCATATGCTAGCTACTGAATATGTCAGTCGTTTCTATAAATTTCTGTACAGACAAGAATATCTTTGTACTCAGGAAAGATTTAGGTTTGGGTCGCCAAAAAGAATACTATGTAGAGTTTTTTGTCCTCCAAGATCGTTTAGAAGCGGTTTCCTTGTATTTATTCCCACAATGAATGGTATACCCACAGGAAAGGATATAAGTACTTTTGAATTTTTATCCATCTAATTATACATTCACTTATGTTCGAGATAAATCAATTATATTTTTTTATTTTATAAACACGAGATAGAAATAACAATTTCTGTATGTGAAACCTTTCAGCTTTTCTTTCCAAACAACATCGGGTGTTTACGCTGCAATTCCTCTCAACGTTATGTGTTTCAGATTTGAGGGTTAAATTGAGTATTTGATACCTGTAAATTTCATTTGGAACTAACTATATCATAAGCATGTGTTTATCTATGACTAAGAGAATGGGGTGGTCGGGTAGCCTAGTGGTTAAAGCGTTCGCTCGTCACGCCGAAGACCCGGGTTCGATTGCCAACATGGGTACAATGTATGAAGCCCATTTCTGGTGTACCCCGCCGTGATATTGCTGGAATATTGCTGAAACCGGCATAAAACCATACTCACTCACTCACTCACTCACTCACTCACTCACTCACTAAGAGAATGTGATTGTAACAGGCCTCCGCGAAAAGGTGAGCGTATCCTGAGGCACAGGTTGCAAAGGCCAGTTACTTGTTCAACTGAATAAAAAAAACGGAGAACATACGGTACACGTGAAAATAAGGAATTGCACCTGACGTGAGTTTAGTTAATGATGCGTCAAAGTTGTAAAGATCCTCCACATGTCTACCATAAAATATTTTAAAAACCTTACAAAGACATCGTGTGCTATAACCCTGATCAAACAACTTGTTAGCAAAAGTCAATTCTTTGTAACAGAAATACTGCAAACGTAGACGATAGGCATGTAGTACGTATGTATAGAAATAATATTCAACTGATAATGTCACATGTCTTGTCATTTCTTATCTTCATTGCATGATACACATTAACCATTAAGGGACCTACCATTTGATATTCTGGGGTGGGGCTGTTTTGTTAAGAAAAACAGCTTGCAACAATGTAACGAGAAAAACTTGAAATTTCGGGAAAATATACAAATAATTGAAATAAAGCAAAATTTCGATTTAAAAATAAATATATATATGCTACCAAAGTGGCACCATAGGCTTTCGTACGATTGTACCTGAAAAGGTTTGAAATGTCGATGCCAAGGGCTAGAACTTCTGGAATATTGTTCGACATAAAGGTTAAGTTGGCTTGGGAGATTTTATAGTCTCTCTGAATTTGTATGCAAAGATCTTTGTATGAAACAGATAAGCTGAGAAACATGTTATTTACAAGAATGAAATATCAATTTAATGATTTCAGATTTCATCTCTCTCTCCATCTCTCTCTCCCTCTCTCGCTCTCTCTCTCTCTCCCTCTCTCTCTTCGTCTCTCTCTCGCTCTCTCTCTCCCTCTCTCTTTCTCTCTCTCGCTCTCTCTCTATCTCTCTCTCTCCCTCCCTCTCTCTCTCCCTCTCTCTCTCTCCCTCTCTCTCTCTTTCTCTCTCTATCTCTATCTCTCCCTCTCTCTCTCTCCCTCTCTCTCTCCCTCCCTCTCTCTCCCCCCCTCTCTCTCTCTATCTCCCTCTCTCTCTCCCTCTCGCTCTCTCCCTCCCTCTCCCTCTCTCTCCCTCTCTCTCTCTCTCTCTCTCTCTCTCTCTCTCTCTCTCTCTCTCTCTCTCTCTCTCTCTCCCCTGTGGCACCCGACACAAACACATGCTAAGGCATCAGTTATTCGTGCTTGTCAAAACACCTTTATCCCCAAAGATCTTTCGCCGTTCAATGGATCTTCAAGTGTAATGAAAACTTTAACTCACATTGTAGTCCTTGGCGACGCACAACAGTAGTATTTGAGGCGTCATAATATCTATGACGTAACAGTGACAATAGAGGGAGAAGTAAAACGTAGTCCTGTAAAATGAAGTCGTTAAACTTTGGAAAACAACTTCTTTATTTTTTGTACGGACGTTGGACGTTTGAGGGCTACTTCCTGCACGTCACCAGTTGAATCGAGGCGTAGCCCTGAACACCGTTACAAACAACATAGAAAGTTAATCTATAAGAAGGTCAATGTCTCCATGTTCATTCATACCTGTAAAAGTCTCACTAACTAAACACAATACAACTGTATATTTGCAGACACACAACCATGCCTCTCCTTCCCGCCATCGTAGTTCTTCTGTGTTCCGTCTGGACAACCGACGCACAGACAGGCGAATGCTGCGCCAAGAACTGTTGCACGTTCAAGTGTTGCCAAGAACGAGGACTCGCTAACAAGATACCAGTTGATCCTGCAGCCACCGGCAGCATTGGCGTGGGAGGCAGTGACCCCACTCGCGGCACAGGTTCAACCACTGCCTACTTCTATGACACTGCAGTGGGGCCAAACGCAATCGGGGGAGGATATAGGAACCAAGGTTCGGGAGGAAATCCCACGGGGTTGTTCCCCTACCCTGAGGAGGTGGTGAACTACCTCGACCTGTCAGCTACATCCGGTATGGGATCATCCAGGGCTGATGCTGTTGCTGCAGCGGCTGAAAATGCAGAGCGACAAGCCGAGGCCATTAATGAGGCGGCATCAGGATTGAGAAAAAACCTCGAAAGAGCAGGAATATCCTCAGATTTGCAAATGGCTGCAGCTCTCTCAGGTGGACCTATGTCGATGAATGTTTTAGGAGGCGGTGTCGGTGGACGCACCGTGAGTGGGACAAGTTCAAGTTCTGGATCTGCAATGAACACACTTGTGCAATTTGGTGGAGGCTTTGCTGACCCTCAGACAAACGCATTTTCCCAAGCTGATGCCGAAGCACGAGCCAAAGCTGGTGTTCAAGCACAAGCACAACCAGGTGCCGCTGCCCAAATTGGGGCTGCACCACGTTCACAAGCTGAGGCACAAGCCATCGCAGAGGCTCAAGCACAAGCACAAGCACAAGCTCAAGCACAAGCACAAGCACAAGCACAAGCACAGGCACAGGCACAGGCTCAGGCACAAACTCAGGCACAAGCTCAAGCACAAGCACAAGCTCAAGCACAGGCACAGGCTCAGGCACAAACTCAGGCTCAAGCTCAGGCACAGGCACAGGCACAGGCACAAGCTCAGGCTCAAGCTCAGGCACAAGCACAGGCACAGGCACAGGCACAAGCTCAAGCTCAAGCTCAGGCACAAGCACAGGCTCAGGCTCAGGCTCAGGCACAGGCTCAGGCACAAGCTCAGGCTCAAGCTCAGGCACAAGCACAGGCACAAGCTCAGGCTCAAGCTCAGGCGCAAGCTCAGGCTCAAGCACAGGCACAAGCTCAGGCTCAGGCTCAGGCTCAGGCTCAAGCTCAGGCTCAAGCTCAAGCTCAGGCTCAGGTACAGGAAAAGGGTGGAATCCAGGCCCTTCCGGGACACCCCGGTTCAGGAATGCAGAGTAACCAAGCCGGCACCACAAACCTAGAAGCAGCTGCTCTTGCTATGGCTGAGGCTGTTGCCGCCGCCGAGGCAGCTCAGTCAGCTGCTGAAGGAGCTAATGTCACACCTAATGTCGATGGATTTACCAATTTCTTCAACAAGCCGGCTTTCCTAGATGCCCAGGTCGACCCGGAGATAAAGGCAAATGTTAATCTAAACAGCGTGGAACCCGTGAAAGGGGCACAATCAGAAATAAATCTTTTAGGATCGTTTGGTATGGGAAACAATTCCCCATCGTGGGCTGGGCCAGGAGGAAGTTCGGCAGTAGGTTCATCACAAGCAACAGGAGGTTCACAAGCAGTCTTGTCACAGGAAGGGGCTCAAGCATTTGGCTCAGCACAAGCTACCGGGGGCTCACAGGGGATAAGCAACATTGTTGCAGCAGAAGGGGGAAACGCAGTTGGTGTGGCACAAGCTATAGCAGAGGCACAGGCCATGGCAAATGTTATTGCGGCGGAAGGCGCTCAAGCATCTGGATCTTCACAGGCTGCAGGACGCTCACAATCTGTTGCTAATGTTTTAGCTGCAGAAGAAGCTCAAGCAATAGCTATGGCACAAGCTATAGCAGCTTCGGAGGCAGTTGCTGATATTATAGATGAAGGAGCACAAGGGATGGGTTCGGCACAAGCATCAAGCGGTTCACAAGCAGCAACAAACATTGCAGCAACAGGAACGGCTCAAGCAACAGGTTCATCCAAGGCTGGGAGTGGTTCACAGTCAATGACCAACCTTTTAGCAGCTGAGGAAGCTCAAGCGATAGCAATGGCAGAAGCAATAGCAGCTTTACAGTCGAATGCTGATACTACCGCTGCAGGAGGATCTCAAGCTGTTGCCGGTGGACAGGCAGTTTCTAGTGCTCAGGCAGTGGCAGAGGCCAATGCGATAGCAAATGCTCAGGCCGCCGCTCAAGCACCAGCAGGTCTAGGGTCACAGGCGGACGCAGTTGTTCAAGCAGCAGCTGAAGCACAAGTAATGGCTAATGCCATTGCAGCTGCTGAAGCACAGGCGTTGGCTATAGCACAAGCAGAAGCCAATGCACAAGCAGCCACTGGGGCTCAAGCAGGTGTTCCGGTAGGTTCTAATGCAGCTCTGACAGATGAGCAGGCGCTTGCTCAAGCCATGGTCCAGTCACAAGCACAGATCCAAGTCCTTACCCAGTCCTTCTCAGCTGCAGATGTGCGTGTAAAAGCACATGCCATAGCACAAGCCCAGGTAGCAGCGACATTGCAGGCCCTGGTTCAGGCTGAATCAGGAGCTCTTTCAACAGCGGAAGCACAAGCATGGGCCCAGGCGAAGACAGCAGCAGATTCTCAAGTACAACTTTGGGGTCAAGCACAGACATATGCAGTGGCAGAGGCTACTGCTTTAGCCGAGGCAGTGGCATCAGCTCAATCGATACTGCAAGTTAACACTCTAGCAGAAGTACGGGCATTCGCAAAGGCACAGGCCGATGCAGAAGCAAACGCTGCCATCGCTGCTGAAACTGAGGCAAAAGCTATTGCAGACATACAAACTGTTGCAGCCATTCAAGCCCAAGCTGAAGCACAGGCTCGGGCACTAGCGACAGGGAATGCACAAGGTGGTGCACAGTCACAAGCACAGGCACAAGCTCAAGCACAAGCACAAACAGGGTCCGAGGCACAAGCACAAGCTCAGGCACAGGCACAAGCACAAGCACAAGCTCAGACACAAACTCAAGCACAAGCACAGGCCCAAGCTCAGGCACAAGCTCCAGCTTCAGCCCAAGCTCAAGCACAAGCACAAGCACAAGCGCTGGCAATAGCGCAAGGACAAGCAGGAACACAGGCCGGAACACAAACTCAAGCACAGTCACAGGCTCAGGCACAATCACAAGCACAAGCAGGTTCCGAAGCACAAGCACAAGCTCAGGCACAAGCTCAAGCACAGGCACAAGCACAAGCTCAGGCACAAGCACAAACACAAGCTCTAGCACAAGCACTAGTTAAAACCCAAACAGAGGACGACGATCAAGCGAAGGCACAAGCTCTAGCACAAGCACAAGCTCAAGCTCAAGCACAAGCACAAGCACAAATTCAAGCAGAGGCCGAGGCACAGGCACAAGCTCAGGCTCAGGCACAAGCTCAGGCACAAGGTCAAGCACAAGCAGAGACGCAAGCACAGGTTCAGACACAAGCTCAGGCACAAGCTCAAGCTCAAGCTCAGGCTCAGGCACAAGCACAAGCACAAGCACAAGCTCAGGCACAAGCACAAACAGGGGTCGGGGCACAAGCACAAGCCCAGGCACAGGCACAAGCCCAAGCTCAAGCTCAAGCTCAGGCACAAGCACAAACAGGGACCGAGGCACAAGCACAATCTCAGGCACAGGCACAAGCACAAGCTCAGACACAAGCTCAAGCACAAGCTCAGGCACAAGCTCAGGCACAAGCACAAGCACAAGCTCAGGCACAAGCTCAAGCACAAGCTCAGGCACAAGCTCAAGCTCAAGCACAAGCACAAGCTCAAGCACAAGCTCAAGCTCAAGCTCAGGCACAAGCACAAACAGGGGTCGGGGCACAAGCACAAGCTCAGGCACAGGCACAAGCCCAAGCACAAGCACAAGCACAAGCTCAGGCACAAGTTCAAGCACAAGCACAAGCTCAGACACAAGCACAAGCTCAGGCACAGGCACAAGCTCAAGCACAAGCACAAACAGGGGCCGAGGCACAAGCACAAGCTCAGGCACAGACACAAGCTCAAGCACAAGCTCAGGCACAAGCACAAGCTCAGACACAAGCTCAAGCACAAGCTCAGGCACAAGCACAAGCACAAGCTCAGGCACAAGCTCAGGCACAAGCTCAAGCACAAGCACAAGCTCAGACACAAACACAAGCTCAGGCACAAGCACAAGCACAAGCTCAGGCACAAGCTCAAGCACAAGCACAAGCTCAGGCACAGGCACAAGCACAAGCTCAGACACAAGCTCAGGCACAAGCACAAGCACAAGCTCAAGCACAAGCACAAACAGGGGCCGAGGCACAAGCACAAGCTCAGGCACAGGCACAAGCACAAGCACAAGCTCAGACACAAGCTCAAGCACAAGCTCAGGCACAAGCACAAGCACAAGCTCAGGCACAAGCTCAAGCTCAGGCACAAGCACAAGCTCAGGCACAAGCACAAGCTCAGGCACAAGCTCAAGCACAAGCACAAACAGGGGCCGAGGCACAAGCACAAGCTCAGGCACAGGCACAAGCACAAGCTCAGACACAAGCTCAGGCACAAGCTCAAGCACAAGCTCAGGCTCAGGCTCAAGCACAAGCTCAGGCTCAGGCTCAAGCACAAGCAGAGGCAGGGGCACAAGCTCAAGCACAAGCACAAGCACAAGCTCAAGCTCAAACAGAGGCCGAGGCACAAGCTCAGGCTCAGGCTCAAGCACAAGCTCAAGCCCAGGCTCAAGCTCAAGCAGATGCCGAGGCACAGGCTCAGGCACAAGCTCAGGCTCAAGCACAAGCTCAGGCACAAGGACAAGCTCAGGCTCAAGCACAAGCTCAGGCACAAGCACAAGCAGAGGCACAAGCTCAGGCACAAGCTCAGGCTCAAGCTCAAGCACAAGCTCAGGCACAAGCTCAGGCTCAAGCTCAAGCACAAGCTCAAGCTCAAGCAGAGGCACAAGCTCAGACACAAGCTCAAGCACAAGCTCAAGCACAAGCAGAGGCACAAGCTCAGGCACAAGCTCAGGCTCAAGCTCAAGCACAAGCTCAGGCACAAGCTCAAGCTCAAGCAGAGGCCGAGGCACAAGCTCAGGCTCAAGCTCAGGCACAAGCCCAGGCGCAAGCTCAGGCACAAGCTCAAGCTCAAGCTCAAGCAGAGGCAAAGGCGCAAGCTCAGGCACAGGCTCAGGCACAGGCGGATGCTCAAGCTCAAGCTCAGGCACAAGCGGATGCTCAGGCACAAGCTCAGGCACAAGCCCAAGCAGAGGCCGAGTCACAAGCACAAGCACAAGCACAAGCACAAGCTCAGGCACAAGCACAAGCACAAGCTCAGGCACAAGCCCAAGCACAAGCTCAGGCACAAGCTCAAGCACAAGCTCAAGCAGAGGCCGAAGCACAAGCTCAAGCTCAGGCACAAGCTCAGGCACAGGCACAGGCTCAAGCACAAGCACAAGCTCAAGCACAGGCTCAGGCTCAAGCACAGGCTCAGGCACAAGCGGATTCTCAGGCACAAGCTCAGGCACAAGCTCAAGCAGAGGCCGAGGCACAAGCTCAGGCTCAGGCTCAGGCTCAAGCTCAAGCACAAGCTCAGGCACAAGCACAAGCACAAGCTCAGGCACAAGCTCAGGCTCAGGCTCAAGCTAAAGCACAAGCTCAGGCTCAAGCAGAAGCGGAAGCTCAAGCTCAAGCTCAAGCTCAAGCTCAAGCACAAGCACAAGCTCAGGCACAGGCACAGGCACAGGCACAGGCACAGGCTCAAGCACAAGCAGAAGCCCAAGCTCAAGCACAAGCGCGTGCCGAAAGAGATCTTAAAGCTTTGAAGAAACTCAAGGAACAAGCAGAATCAAATATCAGGGCATTTTCGCAAGTATTGGCTGCCGCAGATGCCGAGGCCCAGGACTATACCAGCACTCTAACAAAGACTGTCGCAAGGGCGAATTCACTGGCTCAGGCACAGGCAGCAGCTAAGTCAAAAGATGAGGAGGATGAGTTTGCTTTTGCCAAAGCAGCTGCAGATACGTTGGTCCATGTATTAACACAAACACAGGCACACGCAACAGCAGAAGCCACCGCCTTTGCTGCTGCCTTAGATGCTACCACAGGCATAATCCAAGCAGATACTATTGCACAGGCACAATCACTAGCACAGGCTCGGGTAACTGCAGAAGCTCAAGCCCGAGCAGAAGCTGAAGCTAAATCGCAAATAGCAGCACAAGTTCAAAAAGCTACAGATGCACTGGCTAAGGCGGAAGCAAAAGTACTAGCAGTATCGATGGCAAAAGTAGACGCAAAGGCAGCTGCACAGGTACAGGCTAAAGCAGAAGCTAAAGCAACAGCAGAAGCAGAAGCTAAAACAGCTGCAAAGTCGCTGGCACAAGCGCAAGCGAGCGCGGCTGCTCAGGCAGAGGCACAGGCTCAAGCGCAAGCGAGCGCGGCCGCACAGGCGCAGGTCCAAGCGCAAGCGAGCGCGGCTGCTCAGGCACAGGCACAGGCTCAAGCGCAAGCAAGCGCGGCCGCACAGGCGAAGGCACAAGCGCAAGCGAGCGCAGCTGCACAGGCGCAGGCACAAGCGGATGCACAGGCAGCAGCACAAGCTAAGGCACAAGCTAAGGCAAAAGCGCAGGCCCAAGCACAAGCAGCTGCTCAGTCACAATCAAGCAGTAACACAACAGGCGCATCTATGCCCGTGAAGAGGCATGATGTCCCCGACTATCTGACACTGGATGAACTACGTAAGTATATCACTGACTCCGTGTGCCGTGTGTGGCGTAATCCTTTTGGACAGAATCAAGCTTCAACAAGCCTCAATTAGCTTCAACAAGCTTCAACAAGCTTCAACAAGCTTCAACAATATATAAAGTATATAAAGTAACAATATATTTGATAAAAAAAAATTGTAGTGTCATCGCATGACTGCAAAGAGACTTAGGAAAAGAAATTAAATATCGTGTTCTCCATGCGAATCGAGAAAAGTAAATTGATACAAATTCATTTGAAGGATACGTGAGTTGATGATTTCACCTACATCATTGCTGACACCATTTAAACACGTCGAAATCGTCCATTGATAGGAGCCCCTGTTTCGCTTCAGGTATGTCGTTCACGACGGGGAGTTTTGACCGGAACACGTGGTACGGCATCAACCCTCGCTTCTGTAATCAGTTCCTGGAGTTCCACATGAGCGAGAAGGGCGAGTTCTATGTCGCCAACAGAATGTGTCCGTATGGCCTGTTTTGGCTTCAAGATTACATGAGATGCATGGCTCCATCTTCTGTTCCCTGCAGCATTGGTAGGTGACACTACTTCCGGTTGGGCTCCACTACTTCCGGTCATTTCTGGTGACGGTGTTTTTTCATTGTTCAGTAGTTACATGTTGACGGATAGTAAAACAGTTTTGAAATAAATGTTAATAGAACAATATACGAATAGCTGTTTTACATTACAATTCCTAACATGCAAAATTGGTGAAAACGAATTTTCCAGTTTTTTGCTGGGCTAGGTGTAATCTTTCAGTGACATCGTCCGAATTAATGTCCCTTAAAATCCCAAGTTTAGGGATTAACAATTGTTCACAATACACGTTTCAGACCCCTGTCGTATAAACGGGAAGACAGGCGTGGTGTATGATCGACAGGACACGTGCGGCGGCTTCTATGAGTGTACCCGGGACACCAGCAGCCCCTACATCTACGCCAAACCCATGTGTTGTCCCGCCAACTACAGGTTCAACAGCAAGCGCGGCTACTGTGTTCCAGATAAAAAGTGCACGGAAAAGTGTGGGGTTCCGTCCGATCTTGCATCCTCCAGCGGTATGTAAAAAAATCAAACACCAGCTAAGGCCTCATTTATGGACGGGGGAATGACGTCTGTGTGAAACTGAAATATTATTCATTTGGCAGTTTAATCATTGGGTTTATTTCTGAAATACATCTCGGGGAGACATCCATATATGTGCCTTTTCTTAGTTATTTAACATGTAGGGCAAGATGGCCCAGTTGTCTAAGGCGTAGCTTTTAACGTGCAGAGTTGCTTCCCTTAGTCGTGCCAGAATCCGATGATCCGATGAATTCTGTTCTTGCGGTTTTCACCAGAGTGGTCAACTTGCATCAGCTTTCCTTTCTCAATAAGCTGACTCACCGTAATATACCTGAAACACGTGCGTTGGGGGCACGGATGGCCCAGTCGTCTAGGGCGCCGCGATTCGCTGTGCAGAGTCGCGTGCCTTGGGCACGCCAGAAACCTATGATTGTGGGTTCGAATCCCGGTTCGCCCCAATTATGTTTCAATGGGTTTCACCGAAGTGGTAAACGTCTAAGACCTGCATCACTTCGGGCTTTCCTCCAACATTAAGCTGACACGCCATGATATAACTGGAATAATGTTAAAAGCGGCGTTAAACCCAACTCACTCACTCACTCAAAGGTGCGTTAAACCAAACCGGTGAAGATTCGGGATAGAAATGGTCTCAGATGCCAGTGTTTGTCATGATAGTCGACTGACGGGTTCTGGTGGACAAGAGCGCTGAATCGCGCTTGTCATCATATTGCCAATTGCGTAGATCGATTCTCATGATGTCAATCACTGGATTGTCTGGTCTAAACTCGACTATTGCTGAATGCAGAGTTAAACAATAAACAAACAAACAAACAAACAAATATTTTGAAGGACATGAACATTTCAGGATGCTCGAAGGTGGCCGTGCCATTTGACCGCATGGCCTACTACCAGGTGACCGACAGCCAGAACACCTACGCCCTTCAGGTGATGCCCTGTCCCCCCGGGACCATTTTCAGCCCCATGAAGTGCCACTGCGTCACCTCGGCAATGCTGGCCGGTCCCGACCTTGTCAACCGTATGTATTCGTATGACTTCCTGTATTTTTCGTATGACTTCCTGTCTTTTGTAAGGATCACAACCCTGCGCCCACTTGCACAAAGCGATCTTAGCCCTAAGACTATTGTAAGCCTATGTTAAAGTATGGGAGTTACGATCATCTTAGAAGTGCCACTGCGTCACCTCGGCAATGCTGGCCGGTCCCGACCTTGTCAACCGTATGTATTCGTATGATTTCCTGTCTTTCGTAAGGATTACAACCCTGAGCCCACTTGCACAAAGCGATCTTAGCGCTAAGACTATTGTACGCCTATGTTAAAGTATGGGAGTTACGGTCATCTTAGCGCTAAGATTGCTTTGTGCAAGTGGGCCATGAAACTTTTGATTTATTGTGAAATAGCAACATCATTGCTATAATATAATTATTAACTTGAATAAATGAAAAGCATTTGTCTGAAATGTTTGAAGGTCAGTTGCATGTCTTCTCTGGTAATTGTCCCGCATCCCAAATTGACATCCGTTACCCATACTGCTTCATATACATATAAACGCGGAAATTAACTTACAAACTGCCCCCAAAACAAGTTGATGGCATAATACATAAATATTATCTACCCACGAGAAGTTAAAGAAACTTGAAGTTAAAGAAAAGTGATCTCTCACTTCACCTGAGTTGTATACCCGGCTAAATCTGGGATCTCAGACTTCAGAATCTAATCCACGTATACTGCAATATCAATATCACTTCACACAATGTACCCATTTCGGGAATCGAACCTGGGTCTTCGACCTGACGAGCGAACGCTAAAACCACTAGGCTACCAGACACCCCCCCCCCCCCCCCCCAGGGGCAGGGAACAATATCAAGATCACATTAGGTGAGGTGAGGTAAGGTGAAACGTCACGTGTGTGTGTGTGTGTGTGTGTGTGGCTGCTTGTACTAGTCCGGACTGATGCCGATTTATAGTGCTAGCATACTGAAATACCATTCCGCAGTTTAACATGAATACCCCACTCAGACACAGTACACTGACCCCGAGCCGACCAGTCCTGTTTTAGCCCCTTAAAGACAGGGAAACAACAAGTAACATATTTTAACGTCTTTTGGTATGACGCGGCCGGGGATCGAACCCTGACCTTCCGCTCTCCGGGCGGACACCCTACCACTAGACCACGGAGGCGGTCAGACCACATTAGACTATATTTACTGACTTAGGGCATAATCGGTTTCAGGGGCCGGGGGTGGCATAAGGTTAAAGCGTTCGCTCTTCACGTCGGAGACCCGGGTTCGATTCCCCATATGGATACAATAAATGAAGCCTATGTATGGTGTCCCCAGCCGTGATGCTGCTGGAATATAACAAAAGCCGGCGTACAACCATACTCGCTCACTCTATCACTCAATAGTTTCGATTGCTGGTTTGTTTTCAGCTTGCCTTCCTTCTCTGCGGTTTAATTTCGACATGGGGAAAGTGGAGGATGTCATGCACTCTGGAGCCGCATTCGCTCAGCGGGATGTGAAGATCGTCCGTAAGAAGGGTCGTATGTGTGCCCGGTTTGGCAAGGGCAGCTTCATCAAGTTCTGGTCTTTCAGCAACAGGTCGCTCGGGAAGAAGTTTGGCTTGGTGTAAGTCATGTTACCTACACATATAGGTGCTGGGTCTTGACATTGTGACTTTTCCTTTCTTCTTGTGTGACTTGGGTTTAACGCCGCTTTAAGCAATATTAAAGCAATATCACGGCGGGGGACATATAAAAATGGGCTTCACACATGGGTATCACATATTTATAATGATGTTATCTTAATGCAATCTTGACACCCCTTGATATATTGATATTCTGTTGGTGCTAACTTGATGCCATTTTGATGCCATTTTGATGCAATATTGACACATCTTGACAAACTGATATCCTCACGATGCTCTTGTTGTTGCCATCTTGACACATCTTGACACATCTTGGTAGATTGATCTCGTCTTGATGATTTTCTTGATGCAATCTTGACACTTCTTAGTATATTGATATCCTCTATCATTGATGCTATCTTGATATAAAATTGATTTCCTCTTGATGTCATTTGGCAATTCTTGATATCCTCTTGATTCCATCTTGATGTCATCTTGACACATCTTGATATACTGATGTGCCCTTGATGTCACCTTGACACATCTTGACACATTTTGATATACTGATGTGCCCTTGATATCACGTTGATGTCACCTTGACATCATCTTGATATACTGATGTGCCCTTGATATCACGTTGATGTCATCTTGACACCATCTTGATATACTGATGTGCCCTTGATATCACGTTGATGTCATCTTGACACATCTTGATATACTGATGTGCCCTTGATATCACGTTGATGTCACCTTGACATCATCTTGATATACTGATGTGCCCTTGATATCACGTTGATGTCATCTTGACACATCTTGATATACTGATGTGCCCTTGATATCACGGTGATGTCATCTTGACACCATCTTGATATATGGATGTGCCCTTTATGTCACATAAATGTCATCTTGACACCATCTTGATATACTGATGTGATTTTGACGCTATATTGATGTCATCTTGATATATGGATGTGCCCTTGATGTCACGTGGATGTCATCTTGACACATCTTGATATACTGATGTGCCCCTGATCTCACGTTAATGTCATCTTGACACATCTTGATATATGGATGTGCCTTTGACGCCATATTAATGTCATCTTTACACCATCTTGATATATGGATGTGCCCTTGATGTCACGTTAATGTCATCTTGACACCATCTTGATATATGAGTGTGCCTTTTGACGCCATATTGATGCCATTGACGCCACTTTGATATATTGATGTCCCTTGAAGCCATATTGATGTCATCTTGACACCATCTTAATACCCTCTTATTGCGTGGATCGATGCTTACGATATCAATCACTGGATTGTCTGGTCCAGACTCGATTATTTACAGACCGCCGTCATATAGCTGGAATATTGCTTAGTGTGGCGTTAAACAACAAACCAAACCAAAACCAAAACCATCTTAATGTCACGTTAACATCCTTTTCCCAGGCTTAACTTCCGCATCAACTATGTTCCTAACAAGCCTCAGTCCATCATCAGCAACTGTAACCGCCCCTCGGTGCAACTGTACATCGTCGGCAAGACGCTGTACGCACGTGCAAACAATGTGGAAATAAAACTACCATATAAGGTGGGTCCCAGTCTTTCTTAGATCCTATACTACATTTTCATTATATTAGTCACAGGTATATATGAGTATGTGCACGTGTATAAGTAATATTGTCAGTTTCCATTACATTATTGATATCTTTTTATAAACACTTCAATCACCTGTATATTCACAGATGATTTGGATGCAAATCCTCAACTGACACTAATTAGATCAGTCAGAACCACACCATAATTGTAATATTTCTGTTTATTTGGTTATTTAACTGTTAAAGAACCGACGATCCAGAGAAGGTTCCTTCAACATTCCATCCGCAACCCCCCATAACAGCAATATTTTATCAAACAAGAACGTTTTGAAAATAAATACAATATCTGAGATTAAACCAAAGTTAGGATCCTTGAATAAAGTTAAAAGACAGGGTGCCATTGTACAAAGAGATCTTAGCGCCAAGGTGATCGTAACCCACATACATTAACACAGACTTACGACAGTCGTAGTGCTAAGCTTGTCTTCTACTACGCCACCCTGGTCTTTAACTAATGTAGATATTTAAGATATATAATGCTTTAAAAATATTTTGATGATTTTTGTATATTTTAGATAGGAAAATGGAACAATGTGAAATATATTTTCGATGCTACCCGCGGAATGTTTGAACTGATCTGTAACGACGACGTCCAGATTGAAGGCGTACCTTCAGGTGAGTAGTTGTAACTGTTGCTCACAATATGAATCACTGGATTGTCTGATCCAGTTTATTTCCAAGCCGCCGTCCTAAAGATGGAATATTGTTGAGTGCGGCGTTAAACAACAAACACAAACATACAAACACAAACAACAAACACAAACATACAAACACATACAACAAACACAAACATACAAACACAAACATACAAACACAAACATACAAACACAAACAACAACCACAAACATACAAACACAAACAACAAACACAAACATACAAACACAAACATACAAACACAAACAACACAAACAAACAAACAAACACAAACATACAAACACAAACATACAAACACAAACAACAAACACAAACATACAAACACAAACAACAAACACAAACAACAGACACAAACATACAAACACAAACATACAAACACAAACAACAAACATACAAACACAAACATACAAACACAAACAACAGACACAAACATACAAACACAAACATACAAACACAAACATACAAACACAAACAAACACAAACAACAAACACAAACAACAGACACAAACATACAAACACAAACAACAAACACAAACATACAAACACAAACATACAAACACAAACATACAAACACAAACAACAAACACAAAAATACAAACACAAACAACAAACACAAAAATACAAACACAAACATACAATCACAAACACAAAATCGAAGGGGACGCAAGTCGTTGTGCAGAGTTACGTACCTTAAGGATGCCAGGAGCTAAGATAAGGGGTTTCGAATCCCAGATTCATCTTATCATGTTTCTAGGTTTGTGAGCACCGTATCCTGCTTGTGGGTTTCACCAAAGTGGTAAACATCTAAGGCATTCATCCTCTCATTAATTCGAATTTTCCTCCCAAATCAACTGATATACTGTTCAATAAGGCGTAAAGCACAACTCACTCACTCACTCACTGATGGTCTCCCAATCACTATCAATACTAACCTCGGAACCACCAAATTCCCACAACTATGAATGCTATTTACATAATCAAACGACATAGATTGATCATAAGTCCGAATTGCTCCTTGTAAATAATATCTGCCTATCTATGGTACAGGAGAGGGTCTTGCTGCAACATCGTCCTGCCTAACTATTGGACTCTGTCTTGATGGCTCCAGGCATATGGAAGGATTCGATGGCGATCTTGATGACGTAAGTCAACATGTCTTTTCACATGTATTTATATTGCAATAAGAGCGACTGGGTATAAAACATGTCAGCTGTGGTGAATAGCCAGACCTTTAGGGACCGACCTTTTGATTTTCTTGGGCATATTTTCAAGTCGTTCAAACACTACCTGAACTTAACTTAACTGAAATGTGATAATTCTGTTAATGATTACCCCAATAACACAGAGTGTCCTCACTTTACACAAGTTGCGTATTACGAACAAAACTAGACTTTACCCCGTTCACATGCACAACATTTACTGGCGTAAGTAATTTTACACATGTGTAACTATACATACGTGCGTACATTTACATTTTGGGGCACGGGTGGCCCAGTCGTCTAAGGTGCCGCGATTCGCTGTGCAGAGTAGCGTCCCTTGGGCACGCCAGAAACCTATGCTTGTGGGTTCGATCCCGAGTTCGCCCCGATTATGTTTCTAGGTTTGTCAGCACCATACCCGTGCTCGTGGGTTTCACCGAAGTGGTAAACGTCTGAGACCTGCATCACTTCAGGCTTTCCTCCCACATTAAGCTGACACGCCGCGATATAACTTGAATAATGTTAAAAGCGGCGTTAAATCCAACTCACTCACTTACTCACATATACATTTTCTATGCGTTCACATGAAAAGCATCTTAGGTGTGTAAATAAAGTATGTAAATTGTTCGTCATATTCGTCAGTCTGTTCACGACTTCCAACACAAAACAACATGAAGTAACATGTGTTTGATTTAATTTGTACACAAAGTTTTGACTCCTTGAAACCAAAAGAAAACACCGTCCGCTCAACTCTGTATATACGCATAAAAGTTGGCAACTGCTGACAATTTGTTTTTTGTTGGCAAAAGAACACATATTAATTGGATCATCCTCTTACGTTCACATTGCAACACATACACACAGTGCAAATTAACATTTACATTTGCACCTGCTCCAGACATGATGCAAATTTGCTCCTGGTGTAAATATACACACGTGAGTAAACGCGTTCACATGACAAGCATACTCACGTGTGTATTTCTACACGCGTATGCACATATACACACATATGTATAGAGGCGCATGTGAACGGGGTATTAGAAATAATTCTTTTTTAACGCTCTTTCAGGTTGAGATATTCGAGTGTGCACCCTCAGACTCTACAACACCCGACTCCCAGAATCAGATCGTGAGCATCTTTCACTAATTTATTATCATCCAATCATCGGCTGATAATGGGTCACGATGGAAAGAGCGTGGTACCGCCACATTTCGTCGTCCCAAAGTTCACCATTTTGTGATTCCATTGTGTGCACTCTCAGTTCGGCAACATCAGGACAGCAAAGACTTTCTTAGACTGCACGGGTGTGATTGTGACGTCAAAGGTCTTCGTTGTGTTATGGACGTTCTGGTTTGTGATGGTAGAAATAAATGAAAATATGATTTCCTCTAACCAGTTGTTGATCAAGCTGGCCAGCTGCCAGTTGCAGACGACTTCCGGTCGCCATGTTTGTTATACTTGTCTCCAAACGTGTTTTTACTATTAAATTTTTATGAAAACATGTCTGCTGTAGATTCATTGAAGGGGTAGTTTTCCCTTCTTGTGCTCCTCGTGCTTTGATTAAGTTTCTCCAGAATTTACTTTAAAAATGTAGCCTAATTCTAGTGGACAGTTTTTTGTCGCTTGTCGGGAGAAGGGTTGTTTATACTGAACAAAAAAAGGTTAGGTATCATGCATATTTTGGGGGATATTTGGGGTAGTGAAAACTGAGCACACAATTTCATAAAAATATCCCCAAAAATATTAATGATCCCTAACGTTTTTGGTTCACTATAACTACATACATGCTAAGTTTAGGGTAACCTGGACCAAAAATGATAAATTAAAAGACATCGTTTTCTTTATAACTTGATAAAGCAATTTAACATAATCTCGCACAATCGACATAACTGCATACTGGTATCTACCCATTTCCCAAAACAATTTACGGATTAATGCATGATGCATCATGACGGAGGAAAGCCATGTTAAAAAACACAATTTACACAAAGCCAGTTCACGCGCCTAAGTAGGCCAGATAGTAAACCGTCATACCCTCTATGTTTAAGCAATAACTTTATAAACTTCTGGCGCGGTGGGGTAGCCTAGTGGTTAAAGTGTTCGCTCGTCACGCCGAAGACCCTGGCCCGATTCCCCATATGGTTACAATGTATGAAGCCCATTTCTGGCGTCCTTCGACATGACTGAGGCCTTCGAGGATGGAGGTTGTCTTCAAGACTCTCCCTGCCATGCTTAAACTCTATGACTGCCCATCTCTTTACGGTAGCGGAGCGGTCGGGTAGCCTAGTGGTTAAAGCGTTCGCTCGTCACGCCACAGACCCTGGTTCGATTCCCGACCTGGGTACAATGTATGAAGCCCATTTCTGGTGTCCCCCGCCGTGATATTGCTGGAATATTGCAAAAAGCGGCATAAAACCATACTCACTCACGATAATCTTCTGACCTCATGACGTACTACGCATCAGGTAAACACATCGCTATTATATGTTGGACGGGTACATTCATCCGACATTTATGTAACCAAGCTCGTTAAAGCGGACATTACAAAACAGGAATATGCGTCTTGAAAGTTAACCCTTGCACTCCCGAAACAAATGCGCATTGTCATAAATATGCACATGATGTTGTGTCTATATAAATAAAAAGGCGTTTTTGAAAACGTCATTTTGTCAAAGTAGATTCTGACGTCCAACAAACATGACCAACGGCATGTTGAAAAGTGCGAACAAAGCCAGTGACAGAACACGTGACACCAAGTAATGGCCAAGCATATGTATAGAAGAGAATACATTGTATACTGACTTATGTGTAATCAGCAACAATCCCATTACCGTTACTGACACTAATGTTGAAATGAAATTTGGTTAAACACACAATAAAACACACAACGCCAGTGACCCCGGCTTAAATAAATTATCCCAAAATATACCAGACCATACTCGGAGCCATAAAGGTGTCACAGCTAGCCAATTGTGAAATGCCAATGGTGACGTCATGGCACGTGACACGAGACATCACGCTGCCAAAAGAGTCTGAAAAAGCTTCTTTTGTATTAAACAGATTCCATCTGTCAATGGTATCAGCGTGTGTAATTATGTCTGGCCAAATTGCACTGTCTAGACGCTTATAGACACATGATGTGCTGTCAAGACAAGGGCGGCTGTCGACATTTGTCGCCTTGAAATTACGAATGTTTAGTTGACATTTTGTTTCAACTTACAGCGTCCAGACAACATCCGGGACATCAAGGTGTGACATATGACATCTCATTGTCCGGTGGCAGGATAAAGATTGTCTGGTGTCATGCCAGTGTCAAAAGTCCTTCCATGATAATGATCAAAACAAAGGCGACGTAAGAGTGTTCGTCTACAAAGGGACTTTGTGAACGTGTTTTCACCAAGCCAAATCGTGTATTACTTGAATGTAGCTGGAATAATACAACAAACGTCTGGCTGCTGTTGTTTTCCTAAATACAAATGGTTCCCATTCATGCTGTAATGGTAACACGGTTCTAAATATACCACACAGGATTGCCCCGCGCGTAGTTCCGCCACTAAACAAGGATCCAATGCTTTCCTTAAAGACGTTGCTTTTTCTAAACCACACGGTTCCTCCACGCGTAGTTCCCGACCTAAACGGATCCAATGCTTTCCTTAAAGACGTTGCTTTTTCTAAACCATACGGTTCCTCCACGCGTAGTTCCCGACCTAAACGGATCCAATGCTTCCTTCACAAAGATATTGCTTTCCTAAATAAATCTCATGGTTACTATTTACAAGGTTCCGCACCTAAACAAAGATCCAATGCTTTCCTTCACTAAGATATTGCTTTCCTAAATAAATCGCATGATTACTCATACATACTTCCGTACCTAAACAAGGATCCAATGCTTTCCTTCACTAAGATATTGCTTTCCTAAATAAATCGCATGATAACTATTTACAAAGTTCTGCACCTGAACAAGAATCCACTGCTTTCCTTCACTAAGATATTGCTTTCTTAAATAAATCGCATGATAACTATACACAACGTTCTGCACCTAAACAAGAATCCACTGCTTTCCTTCACAAATATATTGCTTTCCTAAATAAATCTCATGGTTACTATTTACAAGGTTCCGCACCTAAACAAAGATCCAATGCTTTCCTTCACTAAGATATTGCTTTCCTAAATAAATCGCATGATTACTCATACATATTTCCGTACCTAAACAAGGATCCAATGCTTTCCTTCACTAAGATATTGCTTTCCTAAATAAATCGCATGATAACTATTTACAAAGTTCTGCACCTGAACAAGAATCCACTGCTTTCCTTCACGAAGATATTGCTTTCTTAAATAAATCGCATAATAACTATACACAAAGTTCTGCACCTAAACAAGAATCCACTGCTTTCCTTCACTAAGATATTGCTTTCCAAAATAAATCGCATGGTTACTCTGTACATAGCTCCCCACCTAAACAAGGATCCAATGCTTACCTTCACTAAGATATTGCTTTCCTAAATAAATCACATGATCACTCTGTACATAGTTCCGCACCTAAACAAGGATCCAATGCTTTCCTTCATGAAGGCGCTGCTTTCCTAAACCACACAGGGTTCCTCCACGCGTAGTTCCGCTCCTCAACAATGCTTTACCTTCAGCAGCTGTTACCTTCAGAAGTATGAACCACACAGATGTCAGCAATGTACAAGTTTATTGACATTTTGATTGGTTTTGACATTTCTGTACAAGACATGATTTTGGCAGTATATGTAGGCATTTGTTTCTACATCCTTGTCGTTGATAGTCAATACTCCAAATAATGCGACTACTGGAAATCTTATGGACAATCAATAAAAATAAATGTATTCTGTAAAATGCCTTTGTATGGTTATATCTGAAGGCACATATTGCATATAATTCACATAAATTAAAAAATGCGAAACAAGTCATTTCATGAACAGTGAACGTACAATCCACATTCGAAAAAAATATTTTTATCCCCATCAACTCATATTACAGGCGTATTGGATAAATATTTGAGATAAGATGAGATTCCAAAGTCAGTATTATGTATGATCATCTAGCAGCTATGAATGCCCTGCTCCCTTTGCTTAAAACCTTGACTAACAGATGATACATGAGGAGAGCAGGCTTAGACCTCCTGGCAGTCCAAGCAAATTTTATTCAAGTTATTTGTAAACATTTTTTCATTTAATGATTTGATTATTCAAATATTTCCTTCATCAAGATTTTGCTTTTCTAAAAATACCACAGAAGGTTCCTCCACATGCAGTTCCACCCATTAACCAGGGCCCACTTCAAAAAGCGATCTTAGCACTAAGACTACCATAAGCCTATGATAAAGAATGGGAGTTACGATCATCTTAGCGCTAGAACCCAATGCTTCACCAAGGCATTGCTTTTGCAAACACATGGTGTCATCACCAATTCTCAGTGATCCATTCGCATAATTTCCTCCACTGATTTGCCTGGATCTGGTTTGTCGGATGACCAGAGTCCACTTGCCCAAACGATCTTAGCGCTAAGACTATTGTAAGCCTATGTTAAAGTATGGGAGTTACGATCATCTTAGCGCTCAGATCGCTTTGTGCAAGTGGGCCCAGAAGTGTTTATTCTCCTGTGTTGACATTATATATTCCTAAATAAACCAGGTTTCATCCACGAGTTCCACAGGGTTCTGCCCCAAAACATGGATCCAATGATTTCCTTCATCATGACTTTGCTCTCAGAATTAAATCATCTGTAAACTTTTTTAATTTAAATGAATATATCAGTTGATGATTAAAACCTAACATCACCGAAACAGTTTCAAATTAGACACTACTCACTGGTTAATTCTAGACCGAAAACAGACACCAGATCATGGAACATAGTGAGTAAGTATGGTTTTACACTACTTTCAGCAATATTCCAGCAATATCACCACGAGGGACACCAGATATGGGACCCACACATTGTACCCATGTGAGGAATTGAACCCGGGTCTTCAGCGTGCCCCTTTAACCACTAGGCTACCCACCCACCCCCGTGTCTCTCCTGGAACATAGGCCCCCTTTAATGCTGATTAGTTTTTCTCATAGTATTAACCAAAAATAATAAATAGAAGAAAAAATTCTTTAATATAGTATAAGCCCATGGGTCTACTCCTTACAAGGTTGTAACATATACAACATATCAGAATTTACAACAAAATAATTTCATTTATGGTTTCCAAATATCGGGATGAGGAGTGTTAATGATGTACATAACTCTAACAATGAGTATCATAGAATGGTAATGAAAGAAGCCAGTAACCATGGTAACATTTCAGAAACATTGTTCCATCATCACTTTATCTAAGAGTAGGCTATGACTTAATAGTTGGGTGCTTAATACATACATTATCACACTGATTCTACGGGAGTAGCTATAACCGGTGTTGCACCATAATAAAGGTCATTGTTCTATACACTTTTACAGTGAGTGAGTTGCATTTAACGCTGCTTTTAACAG